ATGCGGGTCCAGAATGGTAGAAAGAATTAAATTCTTATTCGAATCCCAATCTTTAGAAATTCAAATATTTATAGATTATTAAAACAAGAAAAAACCTCGCATACGTTCCTTAAGTGAATTTGCAATTTTTTCTCTTACCACGGGAAAATCTTCTTCAGTCCATTCTTTGCTAAGCATTTTTTGTTCAATAATTATTGTATTTGCTATTGTTAGCCATTTTTCTGAAAAAAATCAAAAAATAATTATCAAAGTTTCGTTAACGAAACACAGGTGTTTCGTTAACAAAACGAAACGAAACAAATTAAAAAGTGTTTCGTCACGAAACGAGACGAAACAGAAAAAAACATAACGAAACTAACGAAACAACGAAACGAAACGAAACGTTTCGTGCATGTCTGATTCCGATTCCTTAGCAATTCTTTCACGGTTCTATATTTTTGGTTTCAGAAAACGATTGGAACTGTATCTTTATAGTATTAGTGTACCACTAATTTCTTGAAATACATTGTTGGATTTAAATTTATCAAGGAATGGATGGAGAACCTGGTCCTGCAGGTGCTTCAGGAAGCAGTCAAGTAGCTTCTGATCCTGGAAATGCCTATGGAGAGACTGTAACTCCTGGCTGTGGGAAATGTCCTGCTGGTCCAACCGGTTTACCTGGATATAAAGGCAAAAGGGGGCCGAGAGGAGATAAAGGAGCAAAAGGATCTCCTGGTGCCCCTGGTCGAGATGGACAACCTGGAGATGAGGGGCCTGAAGGGGAAATCGGTCTTCCTGGTGATAATGGCGATGCAGGTGTAAAAGGCACACCTGGAGAGGATGGTAAAAGATTAATAACCTCTTCATTTATTTGATGAATGTTTAAGGCGTTGGATATGTAAAAGGAGATCCTGGACCAAAGGGAGCTGCTGGCCCGCCCGGTGAGGCTGGAGATGAGGGCCCAACCGGTGATAGAGGTGATGATACCGCTCCTGGTTTGTAACTCTATATAATTTAGATAAATAAGTTTCAAATTTAAGGTCCCCAAGGACCGATTGGTCCTCCAGGTGCACGCGGTGACAAAGGAAAAGACGGCATAAATGGAAGTCCTGGTACCCAAGGATTGCCTGGTAAACTAGAATATTATCTTTATTAATAAGTAAATTAATTCAAATAGGTGCCGATGCTGAATATTGTCCTTGTCCTGAACGTTCAAAAGGGGTTGATGTAGGGCCCGCTCCTCCAGCAGCTCCATCCCCAGTGGGGTTGGAGCCCCAGTGGGGTTGGACTAAAAAGTGTTTCGTCACGAAACGAGACGAAACAGGAAAAAACATAACGAAACTAACGAAACAACGAAACGAAACGAAACGTTTCGCCCACGTCTGATCCCCACCACTACCATATCAACCGCCTGAAACTCATCCAGCTAATAATTACGGTGCTGCTGTTCCAAATAAAAGTGCTTCTGAGGCACCAAAAAAGCCAGAAGTTGGAGGCTATGAAGCAAAATCTGAGGGAGGTAGTGGTTATGGAGGAGGAACAGTAAAGGGTGATAAGAATACGGAATTTTTATAGAAATAATTTAAAATATTTAGCAGCATCTGAAACCAGTTCAGATAGTCTTGGAGAACAATCAACGTCAAGTCGACGTTTATCTGCATACAATAAACTTATTCATGCAGCACTTAGAAGACGCCATCTCCGTTAATTATTAATACTTATATTAAATAATTGGAAAAATTTCGGAATACTAAACAGAACGCAAATGGGTCAAACTATATGTCATTCGAAAGAGCTCGTCGAGTTGAGTCGAATGGTGAAAAAATTTTCGTGCAGACTCATACAGGGGTTGAGATATAGGCCCCCGAAAATCGAAAAACCATAGGGGGGACCAAGCACATTTTTGGGGTAAAAAATTCGAATATGCAAATAGTAGCTCATTCGAAAGAGCTCCTCGAGCTGAGTCGAATGACACCAAAATCATCGTGATTGGACAAGTTTGGACAAAGTTATGATAGAAAAACTAAAACCTAAACCTATGGGGCGTAGGCGAAGCGCTTGTGCAAAACCCCGCGCTTCGCGCGGGGTTTTGCGGCACGCGCCTCGCGGGGAGTCTACGGGCGCTGGGTCTGGGCTCGTAACATAAACCTATTCCTATCTCCCTTGCTCTGGACGTATTTTGGGCCTCCGTAGCTGCAAAAATCTCCACATATGCCATAGGTAAGGAGCTAAAATAAAAGATCATAACTTTGTCCAATCAAGTCGGACTTCGTTGATTTTGGTGTCATTCGACTCAGCTCGACAAGCTCTTTCGAATGAGGTATAATTTGCATATTCGAATTTTTTACCCCAAAAAAGTGCTTGGTCCCCCCTATGGTTTTTCGATTTTCGGAGGCCTATATCTCAGCCCCTGTATGAGTCCGCACGAAAATTTTTTCACCATTCGACTCAACTCGACGAGCTCTTTCGAATGACATATAGTTTGACCCATTTGCGTTCTGTTTAGTATTCCGAAATTATACCAAATAATTTCTTAAATAATTAAAAAAAAACGAAAATATTCTAGTACATAAAAGTAAAACGGATTTTCAAAATCTTCCAAGCCGATCGGAAAGGTTATAGAACTCCTAGGTCTGGACCTGACTCTTAGCTAAAAATTACCAATACTTTTATATAAATGCTTGTTGAGAGTGGACTGTGGCTGGTCTCAGTTTTGACATTTTGATTAATACTGCGATTAAAAGACTCTAAGTCAACATGTCTAGTGATATTCACGTGAATATGTTTATTTATGGATGCACTTTTTGTATAATTTTGTATTCAATATTGCACTTATATTTATTAAAGAGTGCCGCCCAATTGCTTTGGCTATTAATAAAAATCTAGACATGCCAGATTTTATTTTTTATAAATGATTAACGTCTAATAATTAACCTTTAATAATAAAAATATTACCCCTCCTATACACTACATCTATATACAGACTTGAGACTTCAACAGAGTCAACTCCCTCCCTCTCAACTCCAACACCAACAGACTCAAACACTTATAAATTTAAAATTTTCTAAATCATATTTAGATTATATTTCTATTTGATTTAAAATTTTCAGAAATTTTTTATGAATCCTTGTCGATTAATGTCTATACTTTTCGTATTAATTTTACTACCTCTAGCACCAGCGTCTGATCCTTGTGAAGAACCATGTGTTGATGATCATCATCTCAAGAAGGAATGTAGAGGATGTAAGTTAAAATTTAGGTTGTCTTCAAATTCCATGACGTTCAGGAACGGAGTAATATTTAAATATTTTTAGTGTATGATGATGATAAACAAGCTGCTAAACACTTTAATAAAATTTTCTATGGGCCCAACGAAGATGATTACATACGAAATCATATAGCTATTGACTATATTATCTGGCATCAAGATATTGAAGAAAATATAAAATCCATTAAAGAATGGAGTGAAAATGTTATTACTAAAAAGAGGAGGCTTTGGACACTTGATATCTGGAACCTGGCACAAGAACAATTAGATATACCTTACTGTTTTGCATTTAATAAGAACATTGCTTTAGATTATTTAAAGAGATTTCACTCAAATTTCCCTGTCTTTTATTACCGTATGGTTCGATCAATTCAAGATAAAAAAATTTCAAAGAAAGCTCAAAGTTTAGAAAAAAAGTTTTATCAGCTGGATATACAGGTATCAATTAGGGATCTTTCAATGTCCTAAATAATTCTTTAAATATCAGAATGTGTTAAAATCGTTTTAAAAATGGTTTAGAACAAATGTTTTAAACGACTATAACTTTTGGAACATTGGTAATGCGGATTAGCTTTAAAAGGGGCCTCTCGAGAAAATAGAGAAATGAGAGAAATTTTAAAGAAATTAGAGGAATTTTCTCTTGACTCGAGAAAATAAACCTAAAAAATAAAGTTACTTTTTTATTGAAAAAATTGAAAAATAATATGAACGGTTATCTATTAAGCTCAGAAAGAATAGTGGGCTTCGCCATGGGCGTCATTGGTGATCTTAAATCCGATACACAAAATCTAAGCTTATACAAGACCCGAGAGCTTTTCGAAACCCGATTTGATATCTACCCAACTTTTATCTCTACCCATGACATCCCTGAGTAAAGCTAATCACCGGTGGTGCAAATTACCTATTATGACTATTTTTATCTATGAAAAAATTTATTTTTAATTAGACAACTTAAGATAATATCAGCTTTTATTATAATTTTTAGTACGAATGGAAAAAGATAATGGATGATATGAGTACAAAAATTTTCTCGACAGATAACCTTGACGAATTCATAACTCTTATAAAATATGATAAATATGATCATTTTATTAAATTGTTTATAAATGGTAACTTGGACATTAATTTTCGTACAAGATTTATTAGAGGTATTTCTCTTTACAAAAATTTGCTACAATATTTATTCTAATATAATGTCACTCTATTAGAAAGAACTTATAATCTTTGTAATGAGCATAAAGTTATTGCCATGTTTTGGAGGGCGTTTTTAGGTTAAAGTAGCCCGTTTGGGTATTTTAATAATATTGGGTACTAGTTCGATGTTACATCCCTTAACTTTATGCTATACTAAAAAAATCATTCGCTTCCAAAAAAAAGAAATTCGAATTTCTTGTAAGTTGGAGTGATGTTTAATAATTAGTTTTTAGATTTTCAAACTGATGAGAATATATTACGTAAATTTATTGAAGTATTTGGAATGTTTGCATTAGATAAATTTAAACATTATATAATTTTACAAAAATTTAATTCTGATGAGGAAATAAATGAAACTCGTAATATAGGTATGGAGATGAATATAGAGAGCATGAAAGGTAAAATTAATTATTTAAATTCTTATTCCGATCAGTGATGATCGGAATATATTAGTTATAATCACCCATTGGTGATTATTAGGGCCCGAATTTTAGGTGTTCAAAATATGTAACTAATAAGCTCTTAAAACCAGAGCCTAAGCTTATTGCGAATGAAAATATTTTGGTCCAACTGACCAACCAAATGTAAATTTTTCCCATATAGGAAGAGGAAGAGAAAGGAAAATCGGCGGGGTTCTAAATTATTTAGAGTTTATGTTAAATCGAGGTTCGACTGTATTTAAAATTATAGATTTAATGATAGATGTAGAAAATACAGTGAAGGAAATTAATTCCATAGAAAATATTAAAAAAGATAAAATAAATAAAACAAAAAATAGCAATAATAAAAATAATAATTCCAAAAAACAAAGAAAAAAGAAAAACAAAATAGGTAAAACTATAAAACCAGATAATAGTGAAGACGATAATCAAAATAAAGAGAGTGTTGAAGAGATAAATAATGAAGATTCGAAGTTACAAGGAAAAATAATTGAGGAAGTTAATAATGAATTGGACGACAAAACCGAAGCTAATGAAAGGGAAGAAGATGAAGATGAATGGATAATGAATAAAAAAGATTTAATGAAAAAGAGAAAGGAAGATAGGAAAAAAATTAGGGAGGCAGAAATTATAAGGAAATTAAAAATTAAAGATGAAAAAGATATTAAATCTTTACTAACTTTGAATAATAGGAAGAAAATGAATTTAAAATCTTATTTGAATAATAACGATATTACAATGAAGAATATTTTAGAAGATGAAATTGATAAGGATAAGAAAGAAAAAAATGAGGATTTGATAAAGGAAAAGATTGAAGATTTGGGTAAGGAAGAAAATGAAGAGTTGAATAAGAACAAAAAGCTAAATGAAGAAAATAAACAATGTTTCGGGGAAAAAAAGAACGAAGGTTTGGAAGAGAATAAAGAAATAAATGAGGATTGTAGTCATTTATTGGGACCGGATGACCAAAATTTAATATCGTCAAATCTGAATAAAAAAGAAAAAATAGAAATTTCTCAAACAAATTTTAATAAAATGAAGATAAATATAAATGAAAATAATGGAAAAAACAATGAAGAAAAAGCTGATATAATTAACCAAAGGCAAGAAAATAATTTGAAACAAGAGGAAAAAAAGGACAATGCACTTGTCCCGGTTAATGAAGTTATTTCAAAAGAAAATCACAAAGACTTCAAATCATTTTCAAAATTTACTCCTTTTCAACCAAAAACATTTTTAGAGGAAAAAGCATTATTCGAAGCGTATGAAAAATTTATTGGAGGTAAAGGAGATCCAAAGAAGATAATCCCAGCCTTGGAATGTGGAGTGATTATTGATGAAATTAAACAACGTTTTGTTTACGTTAAAAAATTTAAACAAGATAAGATTGATGTCGAATTAAATTGTGAAGAGAATAAAAATTCATCAAAAAATTTAACCGGAAGTTTAGGAGGTAGGGATTTGATACTTGAATGTTATCTGCTCTCATTTTTTACTCTTAGCTTATTTTCTCCAAAAATGTAATTATCCCCTCGAGCTGGATAATTATCCCCTCGAGCTGGAGTTTTAAAAATATTTACTTCGTTAATAATAGTAATTATTTGAGTCACCTAGTCAAATCAATAAGGATTTATGGATTAGTTATCTCAGATTCGCATCTAAAACTAATTTAACTTACCTAAATATTATATAAAAAATATTTAAACATGAAATTCTAGTGAAAATTAAAGATAAAATTATTCAAAAATGTAAAAATGAATATTCATTAGAACAAGATTTTATTAAATTATTTGAAGAAAACGATAATTTCGTCGATGATTCTGAAAAATGTGAAGTTTTAAAGAATAAATTGCATTTATTATTGAAGGAGTTGTTTTTATTAATGGATGGTTGTGATTTGAAAATTATAAAAAATGAAATAAAAATTGACTATAATATTGAAATTGATGCAGTTAAAAGCAAATTACACAAGAAAAGGTTTACAAATAATTTAGTTTAAAATATTCGGACTAGGATTTTTCATACACATGTATCAGTGATGCTTTAAATACAGAGATAATCTCAAAAAAGTATTCTCAAATAAGTACTCTTGGTAAATATTTATTGTTTCCAACTTGTGGTAATTAATCAAGAAGGCTTAATTATTCGGGGGTGTGACATTCATTTTTCGCTGATAGAAGGATTTATGTAAAGGTGGGAGGTTATTGTATAAGAGAATGAAATTAATCGATCAAATACAGTAATGCACAAAAATGTTATGGATGTGCTCCGAAAACTCGGGGGCGGGATTGTCGTTGTTATAATGTTTAGAAATGTTTCTGGCGGGGTTCTGGTAAGCAAAATATGGTCGGGGTACTGTTATGTACGTGACTTCTATGTCTACGTACTAACAAGATAAGACAGACTAACAAACTGTGCTTTATCTACAATACTAGATACAATGGTAACGAACAATAGGAATATGGCCGAAGCCGAATATGTGGAGCACTAGAATAAGACTAAGAATAACACTAATAGACACTAAGCCCCGAATGGCTAAAGCCTTAGCCTTTTATACTAAGCACATACCCAACAGGTACGGAGTAAGAGGAATGAGGTACGGGGAGCACCTCTAATAATTTTTGTTAAACAAAAATATGTATTAAAAAATTTTTTTTAATGTAAAGGCTTGCTTTATTAATAACAAAAAGTCGGTGGGATCAAATGAAACAAAAACAACAAAAAAGGATTTTACTTTCATTGCTTTCAAAAAATTTTGTTGAATCAACATTTATCCAACAATATAAAATAAAAGAAAGGCAGCTTCAACTGATAGGTGTGTAAATAAATAAATGTAGAAAAATATAATAATAATAATTTAGAATCAAATAAGCTAATAAACAATATAAAGGAATTGCCAATATTTGAAGAATTGCCTTATTTTTATGTTCAAAAGAGGGATTCACTAAATGCTGTGAGCTAATAAATCATTAAAGATATCTTTTTAATACTTCCTGGGGGGGGGGGGCGGGGGAAGAACAAAAGAATCAGACTTGCTAGCTACCTGTACATTAAAATTTAAGTGATATATTACATGTTTAAAAACCACCCGTAGTATAACAACTTTTTGATTCTAAGAATCTTTTTCGGAGAATCCCATCAATTTTTTAATGTAAAGCGATCGAATAACCCCAAAAAATAGTAAAAGATTGGATAGTACTTGATACTGGAGCTCTTTAATGTAAGGTTAATAACTTTCTTATCCTTCTCTCCAATCGTTTCATTCTACATGGGTCCACACTACAATTTTTAGGATTGGGGAATTCCGAAAGCTTGTTTTCTCTATAAAATTTTTTTAATTTCTATTTTTAAAGCTTATTAACCAAATAAATTCTTCATTTATTGTTACTAATAATTATATTCATTCTGATATTAATTATGTTGTTAGAACCGTTAAAAGATGGGCTAGCTTATCTAAATGTTATTATATTGAATTTTTGTTGACCGGTTCACAATTATTAAAGACAGATATTTCTGATTCCGATGTTGATGCGATTGTTGTTTTAAGCAGAAAAGAAAATGATGGTTGTGGAATTAATAAATTAGTTCAATTTTATGGATGTCCAAATAATGATTTGTGTAAATATACTTTTGGTAAAGTACAATGTAATGATAATTCTTTGTATTGTTATTTGTGCAAAGTAATATTTTCTAAACTTTTGTTTAATTTTAAAACATGTAGGAGTGATTTAAAAACGATTAGGTGGGAGTAAAACGATTTATAATATTAGCACGGTATCCAGTGGGTGAGATGAAATCTCGAACAGATATTCTTCTCTATTCTTATACTTTCTCGACTTTATACTTATTTTTAAACCTCTTTTTCTTTAAATTTATAAATTAAATTTAGAACTATAAAATTCACAACCTTCGAAAGAATATTCACACACGAAACAGAATAATAGAATTTTCTACAAATAAAACTCAATTTGACATTTCATTTGTAATAATTGAACAAAAAACGGATCAAAATTTATTTCCAATAATTAATTTAAATAAAGAACAAGTGGAAGAAATAATTGAAGGATTTGCACAAAAATTAGAAATATTAAATTTAAACAAAGGATTACCAGAAAATAGAGAAAAAATTAAAGAAATAAAAAGCCAAATTTATTCTTTAGCTTCATATAATTCTAATAAAATAATGCTACAAAATATTGATATAAATGATAATTTAAATAGATTTCGATGTGTTACAAAAATAGTGAAAAGATGGGCGAAAAGTAAATTTCACTGTTCAATAATTTATTAATTTTTAAAATTTTTTAAAATTTGGCTAAAGGTAGGCGGTGAAACCGTAACCAAAAAAGTTCGAATATCCGTAAATTTTCAGCTCTGATAAGGTTAAGGTTTCAGATATCCGAAAAAAAATCTTAAGAGAATTTTGGAGTATTATCATCACAGTGATGTTGCCTTCCCGAAAAATTTTCTGAGACATCCGTTACTATAATATCTTTACTAATTTCATAAACAGGTTCCGGATATCCGAAATTTTCGATTCAAATATCCAATTCAAATATCCTAGATGTCCTGAAACTTAGGACTGAAAATTAAAACTACAAGATTTTTCCGAAATCTTAGTAAAATAGATAGAATATCGTGCCAAGTAAAATAAAGAATATTGTTAGTCAATCTAAAAGTTTAGCTCAAATTTTAAAGAGGCTTTCAAACATAATTATGGCCAATTGAATTTTAAATATGAAAAGTAACATAAAATTCAGATCATTTCATATATAATGGACAATTTGGTTTCTTCAATGGAGCAACATTGAACGTACTTGTTATTAAACTTGTGTTGCTTTATTTTGATTCATCCATAATTTATTTATTGGAAAAATTTTTTCAAACATACAGTGAATGGTTTTTACCTACCTAATTTAAAAATCAAAATGTATTTTTGTTATTTTAGGGATTGGGATTATCATGTTAAACTTGACGAATTAACCCAAAATTCAATTAGTTGGTCTGTTGAAGACGAAATTGAGGCTAAAAACGATTTTTTGTTGAAATATGTTGCAAGATCAGCGGAGGAAAAGATTTATTTACAAAGACATTTCGATATTTTAATGGTAGTGTTAATGCCTGGATATCCAGAACAAAATTGTGCTTTTAATGTAAATTATTCCACTAAACAAATTATTCAAAGAGAGCTTAATGGAGGTATGAAATGATACATTTTTGTATCTATGTATTACATTGAAAATTCTGATAACTTGATTATACCATTAGCGTGCGTCCCGCATTTTTAAAATTGGAAGAAAAAAACGAAACTATAGGGGGATCTCTTTGGATATCTCCCTAGGATACTTTACTGGGAAATACCTGAATACTTTAATCCGAGGTATGAAACGAAATTTTCGGATGATCAAATCCGGAACCAAATTCTATCTAAGTGAAAATAGCTCGGCGAAAAGAGATACGGAGAGAAATTTTCGGGGACATTAAGACAGACCTTATGACTTTAGAGTCTCCATTACGGCTAGGGCTTTATGACATTTATACAAATTACCATATAGTGAATATACACCTTAGAATATCGCATATTTTCTCAAAATTGTCGGCCATCCTTACAAAATTTTCTAAAATTTTATTTTTTAGCAAATAATATGATTATGAATGCTAAAAATATGAATGGGGGATTTGAAGAATTTAATAATTTTTGGAAAAATTGGTTGGATGGTACTAAATTCATGAAAAAGGTTTCTAATCATTAATATAAAATTCATAAATAAATTTCAGTATAATCATTTTTTGCTGATTTTGTGTTTTGTAAGTAAAAATGATCTTAAAGAAGCTGAAAATTATTGCCGGTTTGTGGAGAGTCGTATACGTTTAGAATTAATTTTTTCGATTGAACTGAATCAGAGGCAAATAAAATATACTCATTCTACTGATAAGGAAAAATGCTTGCCAAAGGAAATTAAGAGAGAATATGGGTAATTTTTATTTTGGAACAAAATTACTAGAGACCGGATCGATACGATATATCGATAATCGATATTTTTTGATATCGATACCGATATTATCGACGACACCTAAAGTCTTGTCTCTAAACATTACTATCCTGGAATTTCAAAGTAGAAAAAATTTTAGAACAGTCAGAGGTGTCGGAAATAGGAAGTCAGTATCGGAATTTTTTAAGTATGTAGATAGTTATTTTAAGTATATAATTTTGAGAGACCTTTAGTTGCGCTGAATCTTGTTTCGTTCCGATGGTTATTTTGGGCGTTTTGGAGTGATTCTTTTAAACGATTATTGGGCATTCTGAGGCTACAACCAGTTTGTTATCTTATCATTCGCTCCAGGCGATAGCATCGTCCGACTTTCTCTTCCCTAACACAACCAACTAATTAAAAATACAAATAGGTATTACATATAAAATAATTTCAGTGGATATTATATCCAACATTGGTGGGTTGGAATTGAAACATATAATGAGATAGAAGATTTGGAATTGGACAAAAACTATGAAGAATCTAATATTT